CGTCACCTCACGCATGATGAAGGAGACGGTGTCGCCCTGCTTGACCACTCCACCCTCGGCGTTGCTCATGTGAAAGAAGACGGACTCGCCCGTCTCGTCGAGAAGAATAAACCCAAATCGACCCTCCACAACCTCCCGCACGGTGCCGTATTGACGTCCATCATTCCCATCCACCTGGTCCTCCGCAGCAGCCGACAACTGCGCCGCACGCTTCCTCTCCGCGCCGCGGTCAATGATGACACGCCGCGCAGCAGTGCGATCACCAGATTCGAGACAGAAACGCACGTAGCGGCCGCGTCGCAACTCCGAGTGCCCCGCAAGGTCCAAGTCCTCAAGACCGACAGTGAAACGAGGGGCATCCTCATTTAGAGGACCGCTGAGGTCCAATTCCGCAATGACACCTTTGCCTGCAAGCTGATCCCAGCTCTCAACGTAGCCAACGAGCATTATGGGTGTCACGGGCTTCTCTTTACCGCCACGAGCATCGTACAGACGAATGCGGTGAGCAAAAGTGAGCCTCTTTGACTGCTCGCCATCCACCTCCTCGTCGGTACCGTCTGTGCGTAGCGGTGTTGAGGAGGCAGAGGCAGCGGAAGAAAAACTCCTGCCGCCGAATGCGCTGCGCCCGCTCCGAGTAGCGGTGGGGATCCTCCGCCGCCGCGCCCCCGCGCGTGCAGGCCGTCCGTCGCAGCATCTACTCAGACCCACCCCCCACCCCACTTACGCACACGACTCCCTCAACCCAACGCCAAAAACACTATCCAAGAAAAACAACAACAAAATAATCTTTTGGGCCGCTGGCCGAATCATGCAGTTTAGCAATAATAAAGCCCAAACAAGATAGGGGAAAAGTAAGGTAAAGCAGAGGCGGTTAATTGCCTAGATGTTCTCTTATGGTTAAATATATATATGTGTATATTCTTTTGACCGCCCAAATGACCTTTTGAACTCAGGAATTGAAATATGTTTATTACTTACGAGGCGGCGGAATTTAGGACTCCTCCAACCACAAGACACCCCGCCGCGAGCGGTGGAAACCAAAGGGGGTTGGGTAGGAAGGTGAAAATGAAAATAAAAGTAAAAAATTGTCCGGCCGCTATCGTTTCCCTGCTCCCAACGTGGTACCGTTGAAACCCCAAAACAAAAAAAAATAATAATAATGCACTAATAAAAAAAAAACAAAAAAAAACGATTCATTCAATACCCTTTACGTAGCAGCACCTGTTCGCACGTGTTCCCCAATAGTTTCTGTGCTCTACCAGATCTACTGCTTTAGTGTGAATCCGTTTAAGAACGGATCCGTTGGGTCAAACAGCATGGTGTTGAAACCCATGATAAAAGCCTTTCCAGTAATTTCTGTCGTTACAACGAGCTCCCTTCCTCG